ATGTCAACTAATTCTCATTAATTTGCAACTACATGTCTACTAACTCTCAGAGTAGACTGTTAGGGTAGGTTTAGGGTTAGTAGAATAAGTTGACAAAGAAAGTGTTAGAAGATATTAAGCAGACAGTCTACTAATACTCTACTAACTGCTAGTTGACATAGTTACAAAGTTACTTACTGTTAATAGAATGTCTAAAGTGGACTATCGAAATAAAGTGTTACCAAGGTATCTAATTATTTTGATACTTAATTTCCATGATCTAAATATTCTTAAAAATTTAAAGTTTGTTGTCATTTGGAAGTGTGTAGGCCTTCTTGCATTATTATGCCGTTACATTATGATTATATATTCAGTGGCATAAAATGGTCTTTAAAATGGCAATAATATCACTTATCGCAATTATTTCTGGGGTAATATATCGCAAAACAAAAAGTTGTTATCGTGACAGGCCTACTTAACACAAAATGTCAGTTTAATAAATAATAAGCAATTTTACACAAAATTTTCGCAATCATGCTATTGGTCCGAATACCACAACTACTGTGATTACCTGCTAACACATTTTAAAGGATCAGTTCACTTCCAGAATAAAAATTCCCTGATAATTTACTCACCCCCATGTCATCCAAGATTAGGGCTGAAACGATTCCTCGAGTAACTCGAATACAAAAAAATCATCGTTTAGGCTTCGTTTAGTCCATGTACTGTAACTACCATAGACTGTAACTACACACAGAACACTGTGTTTCCCCATGGACCATTATTACTGACGCACAACCCGATAAACGCTGGACATATTTAAGACTGTAAATCAATATGGTGGATAGTTATGATGTCCCTAAATTAGCTATGTTTTGTGAAAGACTAAGCGCCATTCATGTTGATTGTCTCATTCTCTCTCTATGACACACACACACACACTCCCCATACAGTTATGCATAAAAATACCACAGAAAGAAAGATAGTCAATATCACACGAAGAGCGCCAGTTTTCACCTCTAAAAATCAGCATGATTACAAATGTGATACTGATTTTATGCAACAGTTCAATAAACAAGAAGTTAATATTAAGAGACTTACGTTTTAGACACCATATTGCCTGTTTTTGCTCTATTTCGCCACCATAAAATAATCCCAAACACAG